TCAATTTCGGTTTCTATTCAGGAATTCAACTCAGCCACATTGATCAGTGCCATGAACGTTGAGGCAGTTGTGCAATGTATGAAACCAATAATGTTGGTTTGCTCTCAAAGTTGTTTATTTTTGAGAAATGTGAATATGGGGAGTGACTGTGGAGGCTGGTAGTTTGAAGCTTATAGTGTATCCATCATCCAGTGCCATTCCAAACCGATGTGCATTCAGTTGCCAGTCTGGAGAGGATGTCGGCCCGGATGGTTGAAAGTGTTTGGGCGAGGCCCGAGCAACGAAACAGGAATCCCGACCGTTCCAGCGCCGAGGACGCGCCTGAAGACTATCCAGGACCCTGGGCTGTGAGAGTGACGCTTCCTGATGAGGAGGCCGGCCAGAGCCGAAATCGAACACAGAAACATGGGCTGTCTCCTGGGGGAAACCCGAAGTGGGCATACCCGTTTTCCTCGGTGTCCCTCCGTGATCCCATGAAGGGCGCCATCAAAACAAGGCAATCATGTTGCCAATCGAGCTCCCAGTCACGCAAGGGTTGAGGACTAGGCGCGAAGCTCTCTTTTGCATAAAGCAGAGCCGCAGAGCTTCATGCGATGTTGAAGCGACCTTCAACGAAACTTCAGCCCGCTCTCAAGCCGATCAGTTGCCAATGATCCCATTCTCGAGTCTGCCCGGAACACCATTTTTGCCAGCCAACCCCGAGATGATCGATCGCATCTCGCGAAGGTCTTTTGCTCCTGACTGAAAGCAACCCCAGACAAGCCTTAGCTAGCTGAAGCCCCATGGTGGTGAGTTGTGCTCGGAGATCTCACACGGTAGATGTTTGTTCCGACCCTGCTTAGTCACTCCCTTTTTGGCGCCATCGCTTTGAGTAGTCAGGTCTTGTTCTGGAGTAGCTTCGTAAGCTATGCAGTGTTGCAGTTGCATCCGCCGCTGTGCTAGTTTTGAAGAGATGATGTTCTGCTGCTGTTTGCATCAGCATGAAGATGCAAGCGGCACATCATCATAGTGTTTGCTTTGTCATGTCCCTTTACATGACCTTTGCCGGGAGGTGTCGCAATGTGGACGACTAGACTAATCCCAGCCAGCCTTAACAGCCAGGCCCGATTGATTTGACCATCCTGACACCTGAACCACCCTAAATCGAAACAAAACCGATTCAAAGAAGTTACAGTCGCCATCATGTTGCTTGGGTGTTGTGCCAGCCACCCTTCAACGATACGTTCATGGAATCGTGTGGGGCAAGCCGCGGCTAAAATTCACGTTGGCCCTCAGCTGTCTCTCTCATCCTTGCAACAGCACATCTCACCTGAGTCGAGCCTTGTTCACTTCCTATGCAACTGAAGGTGGAACCCAAATTGGGGTCCCGTCAAATCTCTGCAGATGGATTTGGTGACTTCCAGAGCCCCGATTCAGGTGGCCCAGGCGCAGGCACGCATCGACACCTTTCTGCGGGATCTCGAGGAGCGGATGGCCAGCGGCCGCCTGACGCTTTATCTGAGGGACGAAAACGCGCGCAACGAGCCCGCGTCCGCAGCCGAGTGTTCCTGCCATCGGATTTGAGAGCAAAGCCTCCATTCATGGGATAGAGTAGTTTGAAATATGAGTGAAGCCATGGCGGGTCATGTCATGCACAGGTGCTGGCACATCCTTGCAATGCGGGCTACCACAACTTAAGTCCGGGACCAAGGAGTGATAGTCCAGCAGCATCGGCAGACATGACACACTTCAGCAACCCAAAAGCTTAATTCGGATTGATAAACTCGCAGGGCGGTCTTTTTCATAGAGAATGGAGAGCCACTCACTCGGCAAGATGTAGCTGCGGAGCAGAGTTGCCGGTCCGCATTCAGGTGCTAAATCTGGGCGCATGCTGAGGCAACATGGTCCTGTCGCGCTTTGCAGGGCAAGCAGTGCGCAACGTGGCGGAGCTCGCACGCGCTGCCGCGCTGCCCTTGTTACAAAACTGAACTGAAGGAATGTGCCTGGAGATTGCACAGAGCCCGCCTAAACCACCTCTTCTGAGTTGACAGAAAACTGTGGGTTCAATTGCGAGCCAGGTAGCCCGATGCGATGATGAGCAGTTCGTGCTGGGTACTCAAATTTGCACAACAACAGGGACAAGCCAGTCCTGGCCATCCATGCGCTCAGAGTTTGCTGGCTGCTAGCTGCTATGCCTGTTTTTTTCTTGATCTGATCTTGAGTTCATTTGCCTCAGTTGCGATGCCTTTTGTACTCACCAACTCGTTTGCTGGATGACAGGTTCCACTTCCTGCGTACCTTGGGGGATGGCTGCGAGCTTGTGGTTCTGGACAGGGACCAGTGCCTTCAAGCAGAGCCAGAGGCCGGAAACATGGGAGAATATCCTCATGGGCATGTCCTAAATCTGGGCTACCCCATGAGTGGAGCTGAAAAAGAAGTCAAAAGGTATCTAGCCATGTTGGGTCATGTTTGTGATTTTTTGTGGCCGTCCCTCTTGTCGCTACGCAGCAAAGTCGAAAGAATGGCAAGAGCCTCCCTTTGTGGGGTCTGGCCTGTTTGACGCCTTAGCACCTGCGATGCCCTTGTCATATCTTCACTTCACTGCCACTCAAACAGTGCCTTTTGCCTCTACCCATCTACGATGTGTGTACCCATCTACCATGCCTTGATTCCCTCGTTTGAGTTTCCAGATTTCAGCTTTCAAACGAGGTCGCATTGCCCGGCTGGCAAAGATGCCTCTAAGCTAGGCTTGAGTGTCGTTCTCTCGACTTGTGATATGTCAGCGTGCAGTTTGGTGTCCGCCATTGCATTGCAATGCTTTAAAGCCAAAGCCCACAAGGCCAGGACACGCCACTGAATCAGAGGAGTTTGATTGGATTTGAGTATCAGCTTTGGCACCACCGCGTTGCCTAAAAGCTTTCAAAACTCGTGTGTCTATAGTCCGTTCAAATGAGTACTGAGGCTCCCAGTCCAAACGCGGCAATTCAGCAGTGGCATTAAGCATTGAGGTCTCACATGTTTCTCCCGGATGTGTTGGCTTTCCCGATCCTTTTTTGCAAATGCAGCCTTTCGTTTGATCAAGATAAGCCGTACACCAAATGTTTGGTGTTTGGACATTTTTCAATTTGAAGCACATTGGTCGGACGCAGATCCTGGCGCAGCACCTCATTGGTGCCCCCTGCATGGCACAGAGCCCCAGCGCAAGTGCCAGCCACCGCCAGCCGGTGTGGTATGCTCGGGACATTTTCGCTTGTTGATTTGAGCACTAGTGCGGGTCCCTGCGGGTTACCGTGTACGATCATGATCGATCGTGTATGTGTTGCCTGCCCCACCGATCCCATTGATGCTAACATTGGTTTGTTCGTCTTGCACCAAGGAGGGTCATGATGTTCGACTTCTCTAAATATTGACCAGAATCCGAGAATGCCACTTGTGTTGAGGGCGAAAGCTGAGGCAGATTTGGCCAAGTCCTGTTGACTCTCACTAACTAACAGTCCTTGACATGCTCATCGAGGGTGTGGTTTCGTAGCATGGCATCGTGAAAGATGCTACTGACTTGGAAGGATGAAGTCCTGGTAGCACAAGTTTCTCACGGTGTGGGCCCACAGGTGCGGAGTGATGGCAAAGGTGAACCCAGGCAGGGGCGTTGTGGATGGCGTCGAAGGTTGGAATAGTCAACCGCTCGCAAGCGTTTGTCACATGAATGTTAGCAGATAAACATGAACACTGTTCGTCACAAGGCCACTGGTAGACTTCCTTGAGTAGGTAGGCCATTGTCGCGGAGGTCATGGCTAGTGCGGCCATGAAGGAAAGTCAACAAGTGGAGTTGTTCGAGTCAATGGTGAATGTCTGGTAAACAATAATGCTCGCTCAGAACTCGAATTCTGTCTCTTAGCATCGCCGCAGACCAGAGCCTTAAGAAAAGGAAAGAGGTGTTTAGGATGCGGAGGGCTTCATGCATGCTGTCGTGCAATCTGCCGGCCAGACCCCTCGAGAGCGTCGAGGCAAAGGCGCGCAGAAAGCGAGCTGTCCCAATACACAAACTAGGTATGCGGTGCTGCGGCACCACCAAGATCGGACGTTTGAGGATTTGGGGAGTGTTCGGGTGGGGTGGGCTTTGGTGGTTTCGTCGTCCACGTGCTTTTCAGAGGACTTGCTTTGGCCAGGCAGCATTCCCGTAGTGCATACATGGTTAGCATGCTTTACTTTTCAGAGAAACATGCCGTACATCCAAAAGAGGCATGTTGTACGTTCAAGAAAGGCACCCACCACGAGTTTAAACATCATTGCCGCACATGGGTCAGATGCATGCTTCGGTCACAGCACCCACAATGACATGTCCGAATTGTTCGGACACTGAATCACCATGCAAATTGCAGCAGTAGTGCTTGATCTTGGTGGTGCCGTGTGTGATGTCACAGCTACCCTTGCAGGGCCCTTCCAGGTTTTAGTTTCTTCTTGACATCCTTCAAGAACACGCTATTGTTTTTGCTGGGCTTTCAACTCGATCCAACTAGATGAACGGATCAAAGTCGTGTTACATTTGGACATGTACTCGTAGATAGGCCTTGGCCACGTTTAGTTGCCTCTTGGCAGTCACACTTATGGGGTTGTATGATTTCTTGCTCCACCGTGTCTCAGGTAGATGGTTCAATGCCACCGGAAGTGCCAAACTTAGAGCCTAGTGAGACGCATGCAAGGGCCAAGCGTGTGACACTCAATTGCCCGTTGACGTTCAGGCGCCGGCGAAACCAGAGCCTTGAAGCGCGGAAAAAGCGCGGCCGCACGCATATCAATGTGAGTTGGAGAAGGATACAGTTCCAAAAGAACCGCCTTTTCGGGAACGAAATTGCAAGACTTGGCAAAGGACAATATGCCTCACCAACAGCGAGTACTCAAATTTATTTGTACTGAAAAGCGGCCTTTTGGAGCAAAGTCCTTTCCATGCCCTTTGTTGGTCAAATCCACCACCCTTGGAACTTTACATTTTGGCAGGCTGTCAGATGCGTCAATTGTCCAAGGACTCGGTCGCAAGCCCAACGGCTGGCTGTCGGAGGCAGGGATGGGGCATGTGTGCCGGCAACTCAATGCACAAACCAACGTCCAACTTCTCAAGTTACCAAACACCGGTGAGCGCTGCACAGGAGCGACTCGGGCAGGCTCGGCAACGAGAGGCAGTGAGCCAGCCCAAGCCAGGACTGCCTGCGCGCACGCTCTGAAATGAAGTCAGGTCTCGGGTGACCAAGGGATGCTCTGGCAGTCCGGACAACTCGGCCACGGCTTGGTGCCACAGCTTTGTTGCCATGTTTTTCCCCACCCGACAGGAAGGGGTTGTTAGATTTTATGTTGGAATCAGCGTTTTCGATGCTTCTACACCACGCCCCCACCCAGTATCCCGCCAGAGCAGCTCGCTAGTGGATCCCGCCGAGTATCCCGATCCCGCCGAGTATCTCGCCAGCCAGTGGATCCTGCCGAGTATCCCGCTGAGTGTCCCAGAGTAGCTCGCCAGTGGATCCCGCCGAGCATCCCGCTGAGTGTCCGGCCAGTATCGAGCTGGAGCGGCTCGCCAAGATTCGCCAGTGCATCCCGCCAGAGCAGCTCGCCAGTCTAGTTTTGCTCAATGCCCAAAAGGGCCGATGGGAATTTGGAGTTGAAGTCTCTAGCATGCGGAGGAATTTGTTATAACGGTCGTAAGCTCGTGAGTGTGGAGGGCGGGGATTGCTCGAAGCGAAGTATTTTTTCTGGTGAGGAGACCTGGGACCTGCGGCCTGCGCCTCAGGCGCTGAAAGGAGGAAAGCTTCTCAGTTGGATGTGCCATGCACCTCACTCGCCGCTGCGCAGCTCGGACATGCAAAACCATGGAAATTCAAAGCAGACTGCCGGGCTAGCGACCAGGGCCGTGAATGGTGCTCGGACACATCAGCAGCCCCAACAAGAAAAGCGTGCGCGTCATGGATTTTGAAAGGCTAGCCGTCTCAAGAGATTCAAGTCGGGCTAGATTTGCAGTCTATTCGTGCAGTGTTGCTGTGTTTGAGCAAAAGTGCGTTTCTGAAACGCAATAAGTCGAACAGTTAGCGACTTGTCAACTTGTTGTTTTTTGGCTCGGACTTTTCGGCATGTTCAGCCAAACTTGACAACTTTTCGCATTTCGTTCCACATATGTTGACTCTTGAAGTAGGAAATGCAATTCGGGCATCCACAAAATCAATCAGTGTTCGACTCGTGGACTTCCAACCCAACTTTCCGACTTTTTTTTTGCACAGAGCTTTCAACTGTTCAACTTTTAGACATTTCGTTTTTGGCACGAACTGTTGGATTTCGGCCTAGCGTTTCGAATTGTCGACTTTTAGACTTTTCGAGGTCACGACCTTCGACGCAGTAAAACATGTTATTCGGAATAGGGTTCTTTAGTCAAGAATCCTTAGCAATCCTCCCACAAGGGTCTCGCTTGTCATCAAGTCTCTAGATTCGCTGAGTTTGTCGTAAAAGATTACACCAGCAGAGTCAAACAGTTGGACTGACGGGCAAGCACAAACATGCCAACAGCTTGTGGGTTTCTGCGCTTCAACCCGGATGAATCAAAATGATGCAGTCGTGAACCCGGCGCGCCACACATGTCCAATTGAGACACACATGTGTGCGCACACGTGGAACACATATGTATACGACTGAAACAGTTTGCGCGGCACGCGCAGATGTGCACCCGTGAACACACACATACATTTACCTGCGGCGCACGCATACATTGACATGTGTGGAGCTGGAAAACCAACGTGTGCTTCTTGTAAAGCACACACACACATGTGTACACCTGGAACACACATATGTGTTCACCTGCGACACGCTAATGTGTTCACGTCGAACACACATGTGTTCACTTGGAACACAATGAAACGCGTGTCCAATTCAGACACACATGTGTGTACACTTGGAGCACACGTGTGTTGACCTGGAGCACAAAAACGTGCAATTAAAGCACACATGTGTGTACATGTGGGACACACCTATGTGTACCACTGGAACTAAAGCATGTGTCCAGGAACACCGCGTGTGCTATTAAAGCACACATGTGTCACACCACATATGTGCACGCATAGCAAACATAAATGCTTACCCAAAGCTCACACACACACATGTGTACACCTGGAGAGCAAGTATGTCCTCAGATGCAAAAAAAGTTCACCTGGCACATGGTAATGTGTTCACGTGGAACACACATCTGTCCACCTGGAACACAAACACGTGTCCAAGTGGAACACACATGTGCGTACGCGTGGAAAACACATATGTGCACACGTAAACACTCACATATATGTGCGCCCGGGACACACACCAGTGTTCTCATCTGAGAACAAGCATGTGTTCTCCTGGAACGCAAACACGTGTCCAACTGGAACACACATGTGTGCACACGTGAACACACATATGTGTACACGTGGAACACACAATTGCGCACACGTGAAAACACATGTATATATATATATATATGTGCACCCGGAACACACACGCACGAGTGTTCGTCTGAAAACAAACATGTGTTCACCTGGAAGACATACATGTTTCTGATAAGAACACACATGTGTGTACACGTGAGCACACATATGTGTACACGCGGGAGACACGCATGTGCACGCGTGATCACACACACATGTGCACAAGGGATCACACACAGGTGTACTGCACACGTGAACACACATTTATGTGCACGCAGAAAACACAAACACACACGAGTATTCATCTGATAACAAACAGGTGTTCTCCTGAAACACAAACACGTGTCTAGCTGGAACACAGAAGTGTGCACACGTGAACACACGTCTGTGTACACATGTGCACGCGTGAACGCACACACACATAATATATATATATAAATACATGTGCGCCCGGAACACACATGCACGAGTGTTCGTCTGAAAACAAACATGTGTTCACCTGGAAGACATACATGTTTCTGATAAGAACACACATGTGTGTACACACACATGTGCACAAGGGATCACACACAGGTGTACTGCACACGTGAACACACATTTATGTGCACGCAGAAAATACAGACACACACGAGTATTCATCTGATAACAAACAGGTGTTCTCCTGGAACACAAAAACGTGTCTAGTTGGGACACAGCAGTGTGTACACGTGAACACACGTCTGTGTACACGTGGGACATACACATGTGCACACGTGAAAACACATATAATATATATATATATATATATATTCATGTGCGCCCGGAACACGCACTCACGTGCGTTCGTCTGAGAAACAAACATGTACTCGCCTGAAACACAAACACGTGTCCCATTGGACCACACATGCGTGTACACGCGAACACACAAATGCGTACACGTGGAACACACATATGTGTACAAATGAACAGGAGCAGACCCACACACACTTCTGATAACATACATGTGTTCTCCTGGAACACAAACACGTGTCCAGTTGGAACGCACATGTGCGCACACGTGAACACACAAATGTGTGCACGTGGAACTCACATATGCGTACACGTGAACACACACACATGTTCATGCGGAGCAGACACGTGTTTGATAGCAAACATGTGTTCTCCTGGAACACACACACACGTGTCTGATAAGAACACACATGTGTGTACACGTGAACACACACATATGTGTACACGTGCAACACGCATATGTGTACACGTGAACACACATATGTGTACACGTGGACACACATATGTCAGCGCACACGCAAACACGCATACACACGCACGCCTTGAACACACACAAGCGTGTTCGTCTGATAACAAACATGTGTTCCTGGAACACACACATGCGCACACCTGGAACACATATGTGCGCATGTCTGGAAAGCACATTTCTGTTCACCTGCGACACACATGTGTGTCCACCTGGAACCCATACATGTCCTCACTTGGAACAGGCATTTGTGTTCACGCGCCACACTTGCGCAGACCCGAAACACACAATCATGTTTAACCAGAACAAACTTCTTGTAACACACATGTGTATACATGGAACACACGTATGTGCACATGTGGAGAAACATGTGCAACACAACTGTGCAGCACGCATGCGTTCACCTGGACAACCAAAATGTGTTCACATGGAGTTGACATTCTCTGCACGCCTGTGCGACACAAAAATCAAGTTCCCGAAGCCGGCTGTGAGACGCTATTCCATGGGGCTCTGCCTTGAACAACGCCTGTGTTTTGTATGCATGTTCCAAGTAGGAAAATAGCCCTCGTGTGCGATCAATTTTGCAACACGTCGCTAGAGCGCGAGCCTGCTGCTACTACTGCTAATACTATCAGTATCGGATGCGTCTCCAGCATCTACAAACTTCATGTTAGCAAAAGCTTTCCGGCGCATTGCGCTTCTTTCTCGCTCAGCTGCGCAGTGTCTTTCGTATTGAGCAATCTGTTGCTTGATAGGACGCTCTAGGAAAGCTCCGGGAGCTCTGGGAAGCGCACGTGCGAGCTCATTTGTCTCCCTTTGTCTCCCTTCATTTGTTTTCCGTTGGCTCCTGTCTCATACATAACAGTTCATCCAGCAGCTGGCCACAATTTATGTCCAACATGGAACTCCAGGTTTGAGGTGCGTTACAGAACAACGGCCAGTTGGTTCTGTCACAGTGTCCTTCAACTCAGTGCGCAACTCAGGTGTGAGCTTACCTGTGTAGGCGCCTTCACACGCCTCTGCTTGCCAAAAAATCCGGGGTCCCACCCCTGCTCCACGCGAGCGCAATTCTCAGCATCGTCTGTTTTCGCGTCTTGCAGCTGCCCCAGCAAGAAGCTGCGACAAATGAAGGGAGACAAAGGGAGACAGAGCGCCGTGCCAGGCATCCAGGCTGTGGCTTGCAATAGGCGAGTCACTTTAAAATGAATTTAGAACCCCTCACAGTAGACTGTTTGGGGAATTAGGCTCCTGACCAGGACTACGCAGGCAAGAACTTGTTTTGACGAATTGAAACGCCGCAGGCGTGCCATGAAATGGACAAGTACAGAAATCATGATATGTTTGTGAGTAGACTTGACGAATCCCCTGGATATAGGATAGAGTGGAGCTAATTAGATGCTGATTGGGCCTGTAGCTCACTGGTGTTTCGTTGATTAGATATCGTCTTAATAAGTAGTTGTTGGTTGTTCATTCAGATTTGTGGTTTACTTAGTCATTTAATTGCTTAATCTACTCAGTTATGTACATGCTCAACTAGGTACTTGCTGTTAGCTAGCGCGCTAATTCGCTGACTAACCAGTTAGTTATTGAGCTAATTAGCTAGCTTGCAGTTGGTTGGTTGATGCGCTGGTTTGATAGATCGCCACAGAGCCACTAAGCTAGCTAGCCGGTTGGATAGTTAGCTAGTTTGGCCATGTATCCTGTCAATCAGTTGATTAGTTCCCAATTAGCAATTTGGCAATCGTTGGTTTGTTAGCTACTCAATAAACTCAATGACTTGTTGAGGTCGCTAATTTGTCATGTATGGCACATCCAATGTTTGCTTTGATCAAAGGAAGTTTAGAAGGAACTTCCGTGTTACGGCAACTAATTGAAAGCTAGCTCACTCTGAGACAGATGAAGAGAAGGAATAAGCACGTGAGAAAATAGGTGCGCGCGTGTGGTGGGAGTATAGAAAGCTGCAAAAAGCATGGCCCCGTGCGTGAATTGGTGTCTCCGGAGAGCCGAAAGCTAGCCTGTTCGCGGCGCCTGGTCGGAGCGCTTTCGGACCACGTTCGGAGCGCGTTCGGAGCGCGTTCGGACCATGCTCGGAGCGCGGG